AAGGAGACTTTAAATGATAGGGGCAAATAAACACTGTCCTTTAGTAATTATTTATCCAAAGAAAACTCAGATACAAAAGGCTCATTTAGTGCTGCAGGACTATGTTGCAAATATCCCTTAAACTCTTAAAGTTTAGAGCATAGAATTTGGGAAAATGAAAGTCACCTGTGTGTTCATTGCTTGCTTCAGACCACCATCCATGGAGTTTCTAATAAATTTAGATTTTCATCATTCTGCATATGAAACTTTCTTCAGAAATCCTGCCAAAACAAAACTATAGTGCATGAGCACAAGATGATTTTTTGAGCATAGTTGATATCCACTGTTTTCAATTATCTTCAGTGACATTGCAAATAGCCTTTTGTGTGCAAAGGAATATATAAGCCCAAGGCAGAGAAGCTCTTTGAGATGGATGAGCAGAATTTTGAACAGTTGGAGCAGAAGCCATGGGTAACGCCCTGATGAGAGAAATTAGAACATGCATGCCTGCGTAATTTCTCCTGTCAAATGAGGAATAAAGAGCCAGAGGAGAGTGAAGTATAGCACAATTCCAGAATGACCAAAACAGGAATTTTTAAAAATAAAAACATTTATTCTAGTTAGTATAATACAGAGTGTTGACACAAAACAACACTTAACTGCTATCCTGTGCTTAAGCAAAAAGGGTCAGAATGATCTTGACCTTGCTGGCTACTCTGCTTTGGCAGGACTGGGATCTGCTTTAGCAGGACTGGGCTCTGCTTTGGCAGGACTGAGCTCTGCTGCTCAGTTGCTTGTTGGGACCATGGGGGCTGAAGGAATGGTCTCACCCAGCTGTGGCTGTTGGCTCTGCTTTGGCAGGACTGGGCTCTGCTTTAGCAGGACTGAGCTCTGCTGCTCAGTTGCTTGGGACCATGGAGGCTGAAGGAATGGTCTCACCCAGCTGTGGCTGTTGGGCACTGGTTCAGTCAGGAAGCTTCCTCCAGGCTGTCTGTGAGGACAGTGGGCTGCTCATTTATTCTGCATCTGGATCAGAGTGCAGAGAAGTGACACTTGGGTTATTTCTACTTGTGTTTCACATTGTGAAGTCTCTCCCAGTGTCACTCTTGGTTCCAGTTCTGGACTTGCAGCAGGAGAGTTGTGCTGGTTTAGGTGTCAGGTAGCTGAAGTGCACACATCAAGTGTATGTGCTAGGCACATTATCTGTGTGCTCTGCATATCAAACAAATGACGTTTTGTTCATACGTGATTAGTTTTTAATTGATTGCCAGATGTGCAACAAGATTCATACTCCAGGACGACATCTTACATAAAGGAGCTTGAGATTCCTGAGTTTTACATTTGGAGCCCACAAGTTGTGCTACAAAATGAAGTAAGCTGTGATCAAACTAAGTAATGTAATGCACTATGTTCCATAGTACTTGCTCCTCACAAAAGCTGCAACTTTTCACCTGAAAGACTTGAGTCTCACAGTCTTGTGTTCCTCTTGGGGCTATTCAGAGATGTTACCATGGGAAGTCATTCTTGTGATTACAACTTCTTCCACCCATATTTTATTTTTTTAATGATGCATCACTGTCCCACTCAGTAGGACATGATATTAACTTGAGTGGCTTCTCTATAATTCTGTTCTTGCTTTGAAATTCTGATGGAATCAGATTACCAGACTTGAAAACAGGTGTGATGCAAGTAGAACTTTGTTTTAAAACCTATTTAAAGAAAGTGTAAGAGGGCTTTTTATTTTACTTTCTCCATGTGCTAAGATTTCCTGAAGTACAGGACAAAGACCCACTTGTTTACTCCTATTTGCTGTTACAAAAATGGCAAACTAATGGTCTTATGCATGGCAGGGAGTTCTTTCCATGCATTCATCCTAAGTATGTTTTGGGTATGCTTCAGTATGACTCTGAAGCCAAATGAAATATCTTTCAATAGTGAAATCAGGTTTATTACAGTGTAATTTCCTTCTATAAACAAGTCTCCTTTTAAAGACTTTTATCTGAAATTACTGATGAATGTAATGGTATTGAATAATAAAATACTATTATGATGCCAAAAAGAACATCTCAGTCTCTTTGATCTTCATTTTGGCTAAATATAGAAAATTTCACTAGAGACTTTTGTGAACAGACTCCATTAATCCTAACAAATTGTTTTGAAAAACAGCAACTATAATAGATGTTGATTAAGACAGTGAATAACCTTGAGTTTTAATTTTCAATACAGCATGAGTTAACTCCACATTAATTGGAGTCACGCCTCTAAGTCATGTTGTACTGCTCTGAAATCCACGTGTGTCTGCTTTTGTTTGTCTTGGCTTTAATTAATCATTCCCTTATTTCTTGGCAGCAGCCTGTTATTGGGCAGGGAAATATGGATCCAGGTGTAGTCTTGAGCCCCTGTAGCTTCTGCCTGCCTGCTGCACACCATGGCTCTGTGCAGCACAGGAGGTCCTGGCAGCAGGAGTCTTGCAGCAGATGAAACACAGATATGTCTGTGCTATTTCCAACTGGAGTGCTGATGAGAACTCTTTCTAGTAGTCTTAAGCCTTTCTTCTGTCATTGAAGAAGATCAGATTTCATTCTTTTCTACATGTGCAGTGTTTACTAACATTCTGTGCATGTGTAATGTAGGTTTGTGTTTGCAGGTAGCTTAATTTTTTGTTTTGCCACAAAGCTTTTCATGACTACCTCAGAATAAGAAGGATCCCATTCAAAGAAATGCAGACATCTGTTATTTATGTTTAGAAAAAGAAATACATCTGGTTCTGACAGCACATCATTATTTTATGTGCTTCTAAAGAATGCAGCAGTTGATATAATTATGTGGATTAAGAGTGTCAGTGGAGTTAATAAAGAGCAGTGCCCTGAGAACTGCAGTGTGTGTATGGCTTGGCTCTCTGTGCACTTTGGGGACCTCTTTTCTGATTGCCTTGTTCTTTCAGAGCTCCCTGATGGGACAGGGCAACAATTAACTCCCATAAAGCATGAGCCCAGGAGCAGCTGGGCCCACTAATGATGGACAGTATGGATTTGTGCTGTGCCATGCATGAATTTCTCCCCTGGGATACTCCCTTGGTACCATCCCAGCACATCTCATGACGTTTAGTGCCCTCAGACGGCATGGTATTGCTCCTCGTGGCTCACAGTGCATGTGGGCATTCAGTCCTTGCTGAAAACACTGCTCTGGGGCAGTATTTTCGTGTGCCTTTGGATGTAACCAGTCTGCTCCAGCTGGTCCAGGGGAGCAGAGGCAGAAATGGGGCTGTGTTTCTTGATCAGTTCCCTACTGAGTAGCCCCTAAGATAGACTTGACTCCTGTAATCTACTTCATCAATTACACCTGAAAAATAATTTCTGTTTTCGGGAGTTTAATTATTGGGGGTTTACCCATTTTCCTTGTTACTTTTGGTTTTGAAAGCTAGATTAATGGTCAAGCATGTGGAAACAAATTAGCAATTCAGTGCATGTGACTGGCAGCGAGGACAGAGTGAACTTGGTCATTCAAGTGCTCGACTTGTCCTTTATCACCTTTATCACCTACTTCTCACCTGAATCCAGTGCTTGCACTGGGAAGATAACTGTGAGAAAGTTTAAATGCCAACAGATGGAACAGCAGTGAAGAGTAGAGCTGGCTGAGAAGCTGAAGGCAGAGTAGTCAGCGTGGTGTAAGTTGTAAGTGGTGGTTTGGAATGTGCACATTAACTGCAGGATATAAGCTTCCAAAGAAAAGCCAGAAAGCAGCTGTGGGAGGAGGTAAGAGATGTGCTCTGTCAGAGGAGTTTTTCTCTTAGCCTTTTCTGTATAGGGAGTAATGGCAATGGCCACCCCGAGCTGCCAGACTTTTGTGGCTGTTCCCCTAACTCGGGGGTGGAGGGAGAGAAGCTTGTGCCACTGCAATATTGGAAGAATTTAACACAGGTGGTTTGAGTTCTTTGCCTGCTCTGACTCTGTTAAACACAGCTGTCGGATTTTTTAATCAGTTTTGTTGACACCTGTATACAGCTTCCAGTTATTAACATTTGATTTATTTACATGTGTATGCAGTAGGGAAGTATTAGATTCCCCATCTCAGCTAAGGGCTTGGTCTTAATAAATTGCTCTCTTCTGGTGGTCCCTCAGAGCTTTAATGAAAGATGCAGTTGTACTTGGTAACTAGAAACAATACATTCTTAAAAGATAACTAGCTATTACTGTAATGGTCATTGCAGGAAACAAATGAAATTAATTTAGTTACTCTGTGGCTGGAATTACATTATTAGTCAAGTTGATGATGTGTTTCTGGTACTACAGAAGCACAGAAATTTGTAGCACTGTATGAAGACATTTTTATTTCAGCTCTCGTTACAGGCAAGCTAAACATAACTTACAATGAAAAGCACATGTAATATGGTAAATTATATATTGGTTAACTGTCTGTCAGTCAGTTATTCTCTGAGCAATTGCTGCTACATGTGTACTACGTATTTTCTGGGGTTATGGGGGGAGAGAACATTTTTAGTTTATGTGACTTCTATAAGCAGTAAAAGAAGCAGTTTTTCCAGCTCTAGTACTGGCACAATTACTGTCAACTTTTGCAAGTGTGGTACTGAATACAGACTGCTGCCTGAAGCTCCCTGCCTGGTGCCAAGGGGCTGACTAGGAAGTGTTTTTGTGAAGTGTGTACTCAGAGCTACAGCTGCGTTCATGGTTGAAGACTGAACCATTTCTGTGTTATGCTGGCATTAAAATAAAGTGTGACTTTCAATGTGAATTGAAGGCACTTGGACTTAGGTTTGCTTCCATGCTTTTAGCAAATCAAGTGCAATATTGACCTGTTGGCATAAGAAGCTAATGTGGAAATAAATGCTACAAAGTGTTATGAATGTGGATTTTTTTTTAATTGCATGCTGCTCTAAAATTGCCCCTTAAGGAAATTGAGAACTAGGAGCTTAAAATATTTTTTGTTAGAATAGTTGATATTTCATTTGCATGTGGGTTTTTTCTGACTCTTTGTTCTTTCTTTTTTTATTTCTTTCTTAGTCTTCATGAAGAAATCATTGACTTTTATAAGTATATGTCTCCCAGACCTGAAGAAGAGAGAATGCGGATGGAAGTGGTGAACAGAATAGAAAATGTTATCAAAGAGCTCTGGCCTAATGCAGATGTGAGTAGAACACTGTTTTATTTGTTTATATATAAAAGCAACATTTTGTGCCTATTTACTTTATGGAATATTGAATATTGCAAATGCTGTTTTATTTTTCCATCTTAAACATAAAAAGACTTCTGGTGAAATGAGAGAGGTGATCTTTCTTTCTCAAATAATACAGATCTTCTACCACACATAGGATGAAAGACAAGTCAGTCCTTCTGTAGTCAAAGAAAAGGCATAAAGGTGTGGCAATGTTTAGTCTCATGAATATTTATTTGATAAGATGATTGGGAACATATCATACATGTATGCATGTGTTGTGTTTAAAGAAATCTTCTGAAACTCCTATCTTTAGTAGTAGGGCTTTTAGTCCAAAGGCCTGTGATCCTGAATAAATTAAGGTGGTGTACCAGCAGTGTCGTATTACATAGACCATGGTATTTTTAATAGGCAGTTATAGTAAATTGATACATTTTACAAATTAAAAAAACTTGGGAGTCTGTGTTTAGGAAGAAACAAATCTGTAGATCTGTGTGCTAAGCTGTGTAATGCCTCTTTCCACTGTAGATGGGTTTTTGCTAGTACATACTCATTCAAAACAAGAGTTTCTCCTATGCAGAGCTATGGGGGTTTTTTTTTATAAAGGTTAGATTAAAAAGAAGACAGAGAAGTTGCATTTATAAGTCAGTATGGTTTTATGGGGACACAGTTGGGTTTCTGGCATAATTGGATCTAGTTTAATTGTATTCTTCTACTAATATTGTGTTCATTTTCAGAATGTAAATTTCTAGCTGTAGTCATCTATTTGTAGATAACAGTAGCTGAAAATAAGGGCTTGTTAGCCAGAATAGCAAACCAGATTCAGACAGCAGAATCTCTAGTATAAGGAATGCTCTTTGATCCTGCCACAGTAAAAGACAGTGTTTTGACATGAGTGACTTAAATCCACTGTTCATTTCAAATCTTCTTAACCTGTTTTTTGGAATGCCTTTTTAGAAATCAGCAGAATACGACAGAATGTGAATTCTGTATAAGCTCTGTGTATGTGATGTGTGGGTTTGTGTGTAAAATATTCTCACATTTTCCAGGAGGTGATTGTTATGGACAGTGTATCAGAGAGCATGGTATGGAAGGAGCACTCTCCACTCGGTGATTGCTGCCTTTGCACAGCTGGAGGGAGGTGTTTTGAGTCATTACTCCACATATCTGGCAATTTTCTCTTTGAGCAAATGCAGTAACCCTTCCCTGGGAACTGTGTAAGGGAGCAGCCTGTACCACAGGTGTTAGACAGCTCTCCTCTAACCCAGTGAAACAGTCAGGTGGACCCCAATCCAGAGCAGGAGTGGTCTGACAGGCAATAGTGTAGAGAACAATGTGGGTACCACACCCTGCCAGTGCCTTGCAGGAGAGGATTTCACCAAAACCACTGATGGCATCAACCTAGAGATGTTGCAATTTCCTAAGCAAGTTTGTGTGCTGCAAACTTAACTAGTTTAATGAAGTGAATGGATTTGTTATCAGGAGATCTCTCTTTGTTACCACTAGCCCTTTGAATGGGCACAAGAACATACTGCTTCCAGAAATACTCTGTAGGACAGGCTTGATCTGTAAAAGTCTTTTGTATTAAAAGTAACTTTTTACATACATATGTAGCATACATATATGTGTGTGTGTGTGTAGCTTTGCATCCTTGAGAAAATAGTCTTTCTTTAAGCTGCTGAAAGATTTTGTAGCCACCAGGTATTTAAGGAGGGGAAGCAAATACAAGTCCTACCACAGGCGACAGCTGACCACTGGGCTTAGCTGTAACATGACTGAGAGGAAGCACACACTGTGTAGTTGAAAAACCAAAGTTCACTTTTCAATTAGTGCCAGTTAAATCTGCCAGGACTGTCTGTCTCTGCTGTGCTTGAAAATGTTAGAGAGAGAGAGCGTGCCAGTTCCTTTTTCTCAAGTCAGTAACTGTTCTTCAAAGCCCAACTGCACTTTGTCTGCAGTTGTTACGTTGAGGAAGAATTCTCCTTTTGTATATCCTTCCATTTTCTGGAGGCTAAAAGAGAACTGAATGGTGACAACAACATTACTGTGGTGTTATTTTTCTAAAACTTATTTTGCCAGATCAGCTTGGGAACTGAACTACTGAACTCAACTGTGTTCAACTTGGACAGTCTCTTGTAATTTTTCAGTCCTTTGAGTTAATCACTAACCTTTTGACAATCTGTGTTGGTTTAGCTACTTCTAAGATTCAAGTTTTGAGTACATGCTCTGAGAAGGTGGAGTGTTATCTGGTCCAATGTCCTCAGCTGTAGCTGTAGTGTAAAGTGATGAGTTAATGTTTAAGCTGCTCATTTTGAGTCGTAGATACAGCCAAACAAGTTTAAATAAACTTGGAAGTTAAACATACACATTTAGCTTGTAGTCTCTCACTAAACACATAGGTAAGACATAAAAAATATATAAACACATAAAAATCAGTTACTAAGAAAAGAAAAAATACGGCTTCATGAATTTAAACATACGGAGAATGTACATGTAGAATGTGCCTGAGCACGTCCTTTTTTTTCCCCTTCCCCTGTTCCACTTAGAAAAAGGCTGAAAAAGCAGATGGAGGGGGGGTAAAACTAGGTATCCTAAACTGTTACTTTATTTATAGAAGTTAGCAATTGTGTCATTTGCTCTCTTACTCAAGGGAATGTGCTTAGAAGGAAACATTCCTAGTAAGTGAGAACTGTTCTTGGCATCAGCAGGGCTCTGACCATAAGAAACACTTTAATTATGTTGAAACCAAACAACCCAAAACATTTACATGAAAACTTCTTAAGACAAAGATTTTTGACAAGTTCAGTAGTAAAATTTAGCTACTAAACAAGTAAGTACTTACGCAGTCAGATTGAGGATGATATCCTCATGATATCCTCAGCTTCATGTCTGTGTGACCACATAGATCTGAAGGGAATGTTACATATTTCACACACTTAAATTATGAAAATACTATGACTGCGAATGAAGGTAGAAAGATGAAATCTATTTAGTTTGATAAACTTCAGAAAATTCTGCTGAGAGATGTAGACTAAAGGGAAATTAAATTGGCTGTGGATGTACTTTTCATTGTTTTGACAGAGGGATTTTGGTACCAGAAATTTACCATGCTTTTGTGGGTTTCCAAGTTCTGTTGTGCTTGGTGAGCATGTATTTGGACACATACTGTAATCAAAGTTCCTTCAGGAACTCTGGAATTTAATATTAAAAAGTTCATAGAAGTGTGGGATAAACAGTAACCACAACATAGAGGAGTAGGAGTCATTACAGTACTGTGAAGACTGAAGTTATCTTATGAGTGCAAATACAGATCTCTGTCCACAAACAACAAAAACATTATCAGCAGCATTGGCACACCACAAAAACTGATGCTCACAGCTCAACATCTCAAGCCATAACAGTGTTCTGTTTTGGGATGTTTTCTATACTTGCATGGCTACAGAGCCTCAACTATTTAAATTCAAAATTGATAGTAAATCAAAATCCTTTCAAATTTGTGTTCTGATTTCTCCACTCTTTCATGTTTCCAGTTTTTCTGAGAGAGTGGTTGAAGTGTGGGTGTGGGTTTCTTTTTTAATAGTTCAGTGTTTCTCATACTCCAGATTATTGTACAAGAGCAGATGTTGTCTCATTCCTTTTGGTAAAGGTCATATATGTTGTATCAGTAAGTTTATGAATACTTTCAGGGTTGTTTATTCTGTAAAGGCTCTCTTTGCTGTTCAGCTGAACACACTATTTTGTTTGATATTGTGAAAGCACATTTAGTTTTTTCCAAACCATCAGTGGCTGTTTTATTGTGCAAAAACACTTTTCTGGTGGTTTTGGTGCCCAAATGAATCCTGGTTTGACTGAACTCAGTTTCACAGAGGGTGCTTTTATTGCTACCCTGGATTAAAAACAGTGATTATTATTAGTATTATTACATTCTTAGCTTGGTGATGCCTTTATGCTTTTGTACAATACTGATGTTCATGCTGTGGCACCTCTCACAGTCTTTGACAGTTTAAGAAGCTATGAACTTTCAATATTAAATTGTGTATGTACTTTTTATTGGGCTTGGGGTGAGGGGCTAAGAGGAGTGAAGTGATAAAAAATAATCAGGAAGAAGCGCTCAAACTGCTTCTTAGTCTACTAAAGTATTAAGGCACTTGCAAAACATCATCTTTTCTTGTCTCCCCCTTTTTCTTACCCTGAAGGGGAAAAACATAAAAAATGGGTCACTTGACATACAAATAGGTGGCAATCAAGCTGGTGTATGAGACTCATTAAAGCAGAATACTCAAGTGTGTATAAGGTGGCTCCAGGAAACACATCAGAAGAATGGCTGAAAATGAGCCCAAATATGTAGACATTTTTCACTTTGAAGTCTCCCCAACCCCCCTTTGAGACTCAGCACATGAGTCCGACCTCCCTGCAAGGCTTGGCTAAGTACTGAGAGCGTGGTTTTGGCAGCTTACAGGGGAAACCTGATGGTTTACACCTCCAGTGCTAGTAACAATCCAGCATAATAAAGTAATTCTGTGGGATGTGAAGTTTTATGAAACTTTTGTTTGTTGTTTAAGCAGAAATAGACAGAGTTGTGCTACTTGCTTTGTAATGCAGAAAAAAAGGGGGCATGATAGAATTGGGGTTTTTAAAGTATGCAAAGCAATGGAAATACATTAAACTTCAAAGTGTTTAAATACTGAGAGGTATACTTGGAGATATGAAAACAAAAATCAAATTAAACTGATACTGTTTTTCTTAAATATTTTGTCATCGTTAAGCATTTCAAAATCTTGCGTTCTTGACAAATTGGGTTTTTGACAAATGTGGTCATGGGAACAATTTTTACATTGTAAAGCAGTTGTTTATTAGAAAAGCCAAAGTTGTTAATGTATTATGAGACAAAACAATGAGGATCAGCTGTTTGTAGTACATTGAAGATGTGTATGCTGTAACAGAAGTGTTCAGTGCCTGTTAGCAATACCAGAATCTACCAATGGAGGGTAGCAATAGCCAGCCTTTACAAGCAGCTTAATAAACTTGGTCTTCTGAAACCTGAAACATTTCTTAATTCGTCCTATATGTTTTCTTATATATCCTTTTCTTGTGTTTCAGGTGCAGATATTTGGAAGTTTTAAAACTGGGTTATATTTACCTACAAGGTTAGTAATTTTTCAGTGTAAATTCCACACAAAAGAAAAGAAACTTGTTGGACCTACAACCCTTGGGTTATTTTTCTGCTCTCCCAGGATCTGTGTTACTTGTGTCAATACTTGTTAGCTAAGAAAGTGTTAAGCTATTAGTTCTCTGCAAAATGTACGGAAATGCAATAAATAAGACTATTGACTGTAACACGTCTATATAGATCTTGCATGTATCAGTAGAAGGTTCTGAATTACCATGTGGTTAAAAAAGGCTTATGTTGGGATTTGGCTTCAATACAAAAAGAAGATATTGGCCCTAAAAGAAAAGCTAATTTTTTTCTCCACAGATGACTAAATCAAAACTTTTAACATCACATTGTTAATATTAGTGCTGAAAAGAAAATGTTATATACAGAATTATTTTTTTTTCTTTCAGTCTTCTTTTGTGAAATCTGTACAAAGTCAACATCTGCCTTTTCCAAATTTATCGCTAGTTTTCATAAATAGTGTTTAATCAGTGACACTGGTATCTTCTGTGTAGAAATTGTGTGTATTTATGACAACTAAATAGAAATGGAGTGAAAGGCTTAAATGGCTGTAGGGGATAAACACATTTAAATAGCATAAATCTGAGGATAACTTTTGAACTGAGTTCCACACTTTGGGAACAGGAGGACATCTAGTACTGACTGCAGGTGAGGGCTATCCTCATCATTGTTCCATCTCTTTTTGGAAAAGAAAGAACCTGACAGGTGCTTTAGTTCCTGCTTTAGTTTCAGGTGTTGTAAGGAAGTCTAATTTCTCAGTTTTTGTTTGTAAAGCCAGAAGTGAGGTGTACAAATACTCACTGTTTTCACATTTGGCCTCATTCCTGGCCTTACTAAAATTTATTTTAAATAGGCTTAATTAAATATGACTTGATGCTGGTAATGCTAGAGAGATATTCCTGGCCACTTGATGGATATTTTACTATATTTGCTTGATTGTTTTGCAACAGATATAACAAAAATGTTTTTCTGTTGTCATATACTGCCTTTCTTGCATCTTTGTTTCAGGTGAGGTTTGGGGGAGAACAAGTGCAGATGCTTCAAATACAGTACATAAGCCCACAAAAAACCTTCCTGTGGCAGTGCTTGCCAAACTTTTAAAATAGTCATCATTTTTGTGTTGGTCATTAATTCACTGTTGCCTTCTATCAAAGCTTCCCTTTGCCCTAGGTTTTCCCTACCTCTCAATAATAGTTTGTTTAGATTTTAGGCTCTGGGATTCAGAAAGGCCTGAAGTGTGTTTTTAATGTGTCTCTTTGTTGGGATTTGCTCTGTAACCATTAGCTTAAGCTGCTGGTGAAGGTTTGGGCGCACAGTGCCTTTGCTGCTGGATCTCTGTGTACATTTGCAGGCAGTGTCCATGCTCAAGGTGGCAACAGAGCTGCTTTTTCTCTCTTGGTGTGCATCAGGAAAATGTTTCCTGTTTTTAACTGTCAGCAGTGGGTTTAACACTAATTTAGTTTAGAAGATACATGTCCAGCAGCATTTCCTGCTCTGCAAGCCAGTTTTGAACACATTTCTGAAAGTGGCTTGGTGCTGCCTGTCCTTGTCAGCCCAGTGGTCTGTGGCTGAGCTGCTGCTTCAGGAGACAGCTCCTCTAATGCACATGTGGTTTCTTGGGATTGTAAAAGCAGTGGTGTTTGTCAGTCAGCAGATCTGTAGAATCTGTTGCAGGGGGAAGTATTTCTAAACTTTTTTGTGTTTTCTGTTACACAGTTTTCCATGTCTCTGAAGCACCCTGCTAGCATAACTGTGGGGGTACACTCTCACCTCCTTGAGCTCCTGGCCAAGCAGGGGAATCAAAGGGCAGCAGAGAGGGAGAAGCTCAGGATCTCACAGTAGCCCTCAGTGGCTGCAGATGTGACACCAGCCAGCCTTTGAATTTGAGTTCAGGGATTGGATTAGGGTGTCAGCTTCCTGTGTAATGAAATGATTCTGTGTGTGCATAGGGAGGAGGTGTAGTAAGATGGAGACACCCCTTCAAAGAGTGAACTTAATTAGCGGCTTGATCTTATTTAATAGCTTGTTGCTTCCTGAAGTCCAAGTTGCCAGGTTTTCTTCTCCCTTTCCTTGCTCCCTGCTCTTGGTACCACAGGCCAGCAGCTTACCCTGTGCCCTCTGGTGCTGTGATCATCCAGAAAACCAACTTAGAGATGCAAAGAGGCAGGAAATTACCCAGAATGTTCTGTGGGTCCTTTAAAGGAGCAGTGAGGAAGGTTTCTGCCAGACCCATTAATAGATTTTTGATTTGCTGTGGATTAGGCAAACAGACCTGGAGCAAGGGAGGAGACAGGGTCATGCATGTGGGGATAGAGGATGGGGAACAGGACTTTTCCTTGTGGTGGCAGGCTGTTAAATGGACATTCCTGATGAATACAGCCCAAAGGTGGTGATTCACAACAAGTTCATTTCTTGCTCTGAATCACTCCAGAGAAGCTGATCCCTCTCTGCTCACAGTGTAGCCTGAGGAGACTAATTTGAGGCTTTGCAGTCTAATTGATTTATGTTCATCTGTCCCCACTCTGGGTAACCTGAAATGGCCTGTATTTCCCCAAGTGTAAGAGTTCATCTCCAGCCATTTCCTTGGAAAAATCAGAATTAATTATTTGGTTTAGCTATGTTCTGTCAGCTTTATTCAAATTATATATAGATGTCAGTTGTTTGTATTTTAAGTGTGTTGGTCTTTTAATTTGAATAAATTTTTTTTTTTCCATTTCAGTGATATTGATTTAGTTGTGTTTGGAAAATGGGAGACATTACCTCTTTGGACCCTGGAAGAAGCTCTTAGAAAGCACAATGTAGCAGATGAAAACTCAGTAAAGGTTTTAGATAAAGCAACTGTAAGTTTGGGGGAAGAGGGTGTTCCCTTGTTTTAAACTAAATTTCTAATCAAAGAAAGATGTTGGTTAAAAGAATGCATTTTTATAAGCAGAAACTTATTTTGTGTATTAAATTTGAAATAGAACATAAAGAGCTTATTTATTTAGTGTGATTTTTATCACTGACAAAATAATTGATAGTGCAATAACAAAAGCATTTTTTCTGTTGTGGAAATTGTCTGATTTCATATGCACAATATATTGCTTTTAAGAGAGATTGAACTAGTCAGTGTTGTGCATTGATGTTTTTAAACCGTTTCTGGACTGAGTTTTTACATACGTAAATAATTTATTTTTTCTTTCTGCAAGTAAGCAGGTATAATCAGTTCTCACAAAGAAATACTAAGTATACAGCCTTGTCTAAATAGGTGGTGGTATGTCTTGAAAAAAATATATTAATTCCATGATAATTTCCTACCTTTCTTACCTGTAAGAGTTGTAAGAATATTGATGTATCCAAGTCATAGCTATTATTATTTGATGGTCACTCAGATGGAGACACATCAGAGTACTCTCCATATCTTGTACTTCTTAACTGAAGTTGATTTTGGTGAGGAAGTGATGACCCCAGTGACATGAGTCGTGTCATTTCTGTGTCTCCAGGACCATTTCTCTGTGTTTCTCCAGTGTTTGTCTCCCTCTGGTGTCTGTGGTCTCCACCAGAGCTGAGCTGCTGCAACAGCAACTCACCCAAACCCATCCAAAATAAATCACCTGGAAGGTGAAGCATTAAGTTCTGTTCAGCAGGACAGTAAATTCAAGATAGTGTTTATGAGCTAGAAAAGCAAAATTTATGTAAACAGATTGGCAAGGCAAATGAGTTCATAAATAGGAGTCCTGATTTCACTATCTCCTCTCTATAAATTCATAAAAAACTTCAGGTTTTCTGGTGCATCTAAGTTACAAATGAAACCAAGTGTGTCTTGGAAATCTGTATTGACTTATTGTATCTTTCTTTTGCAGGTACCTATTATTAAACTGACAGATTCCTTCACTGAAGTAAAAGTTGATATAAGCTTTAATGTACAGAATGGGGTTAAAGCAGCCCAGCTCATCAAGGATTTTATCAAGGTTAGGCAACACTCACAGAACTACCCGCTGAGTATTTGATGACTTAATTTCATTTTCTGTTTTATTTTAATTGTATCCTTGCTAGAGATACACTTTTACTCTGTTGTTTTTTGTTGTCTGATAATGCTGAGGCACATTCTTAAGTTGTAGATATATTGCCTTAAAAGGCATGAAGATACTAAAATACAAGAATGAAATGTGGGGTAGTTTTAATGGTACAATGATTAAGAAAAAAGCACTATTCCTTTTTTTACGTGTTCTGCTCTTTTAACTGCAGTTCATTGAGCTCTGCACTTCTGAATTTCAGGATGGGAGATAGTCTCCTTATGAAAGCTTGAGGGTGTTTTTGTGTGTGAAAGCATAGAAAATCAAGTTGCCTGGGTTACTTGTGACCCTTTGGCCTTGGCTCAGGGGGTGAGAGGGGTCTGTGTCCCTGGGCATGGAGCAGGAGCTGTGTGTGGCAGCAGGGACGAGGCTGCAGCCCAAAGAGCAGAGCAGGTCTGGTGCCAGTAGCTGGGGTCGGCTCCCAGCGTGGCAGAGAAGTGGCCAGTGAGGATGTGCAGGCAGTGGGCAGGGCCAGGATGAGGGTCAGGATCAGCAGCAGTGGTGGCTCAGGCTCACAGCGCAGGGCAGCAGCTCTCGAGCAGAGTGGAGGCACTCCCAGCAGGGCTTCCCACACGGTGCTTTCCCACAGGGCTGCTTCCCAGCAGGCTGAGCCACGGCTGTGCAGCTGTGCCACACCACAGCTGGCCTCGAGCACGGCAGGAGGAGGCTGTGCTGAGGAGGAGGAGGCTGTGCTGCTGTGGAGGGGCCTTTGTTTCACTTGGAGAAAGCTTGGCGTGTTCTTGTCAAGTGACTTGGTTGGTGTTCTTGAGGCACTCTCTAGATAACATTGCAGGGCATTCTCTTGGGTGTTATTTTGTCCCACATAACTTCAGTACCTAACTGAGATGTCATATTTGGTATTAGGCTTGGAAATACCTCTTCCTCTTCCTCCAGGTTATTTAGGAAATCTGAGGCAATTGGAGCCTTTATTAAGGGTATGCAGTTTTCCAAGAAAAATCCCATCTTTAAATTTTGGTATATACTGGTATTCAACACTTCAGCTTGTGACTGGAAGTTCTTAATAGTTCAAAATCTTCACTTAGATAGTTAGGGATCTTCAGTTAGATAAGGCTCCCAATACTCACTGTAAGGCTCATACAGAGAAGTTCTTGGCAAAATTCTTTCCCTTTAATCTTTTTGCAGTCATGGACATAATGATCTACATTCATCTGTGACACTAAGGAACTTTTTGGCTCTGTGTTGATAAAAGTAATGCTCTGATTGAGCTCTTTTGCCCCTCCTCTGTGAGGGGGGTACAGAGTGCAGGTTGGCCCAGCCTCCACTGCTGTCCCAAAGGTCCTTGTCCAGCACACCTCTTAAGGGAATCCATGCAGATAAACCCTTTAAAGGACCTGTTACCCAAAGGTATTTTGTTTGTTTGAAGATGTTACCTGAGTGTAGTAGTTTTGAAGGGCTTTCTTTAACTCTGGGCATCTGAAGTACTTGCAGGACAGAAATCTCAGTGCACTTTGAGCTACCTCTCAGCTGTAGCAAGAAGGTTTTGTTACAGATGTTGGTATCTCCACAGTTGTTCCTTTGCTATTCTTTTCACTTGTATGAGAAAAGTAAGTGTATATATTCAACCCAAATACCTCTGATTTTATGATGTAATAACTTTTTTCTGTTGTGAGTATCTGCCACCAGAGTCCAACAGGTAAAATACCTGTGTTGGTCACAGGCAGGTCACTGGCCCTTCTCCACTGTTACCAAAAATGATAGGTTAGATTTACAGTTAGCTTAGAGCCAAAATATAATAAAACAGATGGTTTCAGTGTGCTCTCCATTGTATGCATGCATCACAGTATTGTAACAACTTTGTTTTTCTCTTTCAGAAATATCCTGTGTTACCATTTCTAGTTTTAGTATTGAAACAGTTCCTGTTGCAGAGGGACCTTAATGAAGTATTTACAGGTGGAATTGGTTCTTATAGTCTCTTTTTAATGGCTGTCAGTTTCCTTCAGGTAAGTTCAATGGAATTTATCAATGTCACTGTGGTGCCTAAGGACATCACCATAAGAAGGAATTTGGTCAACCCTCAAATTTAATCATTTAAGCTGTCAGTTTTTTGGGGTTGCACCCCCTTTTCATTTAAAATTAGATATGTCCCATCTGTCTTCTGTTCCTTCTCTGGTGCTGATACTTTTGGTACGAAAGGTGTTTAGAATATCTGTTGGTGTGCCAATGCCAGGCACTGATACACATGATTTTGATACACATGATATGACATGTGTCATTCCTAGTAAAACAACTTGAATATTGTATAACTTGCTTGGAACAAGTTCCATAAGGTTGGTGTTAGCTGCAGCTGTCCTTTATTGCACTTGGTCTCCAGGTCACACACCCTGTGTGTCCTCTAACAAATGCAGTGTAATCTTGGTTCTCTGGGTTTCTAAGCTGATCTCAAGCAAACATGTTTTATAACTTCCTCTTAAATCTAATAGAACAAAATGCATGAGCTGAATCTATATTGTTGTGCCTGGGAGAGGGAAATACTGGACAAATATGAAGTGGCTCATTTCTGGCTGTATCAGCCCTGTTGTTTTTCCTGAACTAAATGTTATGTATAACTGTTTTTGTAAGTGTATGTCCATACTTTTCCAGACTGTAATTACTCTAAAACCTGAGCCTGGAACCGGAGCTCGGTGTTTGCTGAGTGCCTTTGCAGTTCCCTGCTGAGTGCAAAAGAAATAAGGGCAACATGCATATAGTTTAAAACCAAAATCTCTCCTAATCCTTTTTTTACTTATGTTGAGTAACAGTACTTCTATTTCCTCACTTAAAAAAATAAATTAAAAAGGTAGGTTTCATATCAGTTACAATTCTGAGCTGGTTTGTCCACTCAGGCTGCTTACTTAGCAGTAGAGGGGATCCTGTGTATAGCTGTGCACATGAGAAGTATTTGTATTGCAGACCCAGGTTTGTAAGTTTTGCTGACCTGCTTTTTCACAAGAACCCTGCCATTAATGCTGGAAGTTCACTTATTGGACTAAAAGTTCAAATGCAAAAAGATTAGTGCTTGACAGCCTTTTTTTGAAGAGGTAGTTATTTTATAAAAGTTGTCATAGCATCTTATTTTAAAGAGGCAAAACTGCTTAATCAAGGGAAAATGCTTTATTTAGACATATCTGTTTTATTATTTTTATTACTGTGTTTAGACATATTTTCTGTGAAAAAGAAAAGAGCTTGAAGTTTTAAAAGAATGAATTTTTTTCTCTCTTCTTAATAGCTGCATCCCAGGGAAGATGCCTGTATGCCCAATGCCAACTATGGTGTTCTTTTAATAGAGTTTTTTGAATTATATGGACGTCACTTCAATTATCTGAAGACTGGAATCCGAATAAAGGATGGTGGCTCTTATGTTGCCAAGGATGAAGTGCAGAAAAGCATGCTGGATGGCTACAGACCATCAATGCTGTACATTGAGGATCCATTACAGCCAGGTATCCCCAGAAACCAAAATGGAATAACAGTACTATTAAATGTTTAATAGATGCACTGCAGGATTTTTTTCCTCGTCATATATTGTACTTGTACCAGAGAATTGCTGGTCTGGACTTCTTTACATCAAAATCCCTGTAGATATTTTAAACCGTTTATGCTAAATAAATAAATAAATAAATATATATATATATAGCATAAAGCATAAATATTTATGCTTTATGCTAATCCTGTTCTACAAGAGGTGGCTGCAGTTAGTTGGGACTCAAGCACAATTTTTAAAACATTACTGCCTCCTGCCTGAAAGCTGATAACCACAGTTTCAATCTTACTCATTTATTTATATTCTTATTTTAAGGTAATGATGTTGGGAGGAGTTCCTATGGTGCCATGCAGGTGAAGCAGGCTTTTGATTATGCCTATGTTGTTCTGAGCCATGCAGTTTCCCCAATAGCTAAATATTATCCTAACAACGAAACAGAAAGGTAAAGACTCCAAGTCTAAATCTCTGACATTCATTGCTTATATTTTCCTGTGTCTAAAAATTAATTGTGGTGATGGTTTTGTTTGTTTTTTGGTTTTTGGTTTTTTTTTCTCCTGGTTTGCAGTATATTAGGGAGAATAATTAGAGTAACACAAGAAGTGGCCACATACAGAGACTGGATATCCAAGCAGTGGGGAATGCAAAGCAGAACAGAATCTTCATGTAATGGTGAGTTTTGACTCAGCAGGGCTGAGGGGGGAAACTTCTTGCAGATTTTGCTTGTATAGATTGCTTTTGCCTCACATTAGTCAATGTGTGCATCTTAGTAGCAATTTCCTTTTTTTGTTCAGTATTCCTGTCTTTTCATCCAGAAAAGTTAGATTTGTACAAGAGTAAAATGTCCCCATCTTTATTGTACAACACTAGATTTGGTTAGTAGAGAGATCTGTAAAGAGTGCTGCCTTCCAAAAAGACTTTGGAAAAACTTCCAATTTAAATTACCACATTGTCACACTTCCTTTGTCCTTTAAATGTGGACAAAGTTTTAACAAGAATTACTGGGCATGCCAGTTTAAATCTGAATCCTTAAATTCTGCATTATTGATATTCATTTTAAGGTCTGACGTACTGTATGTTTAAGGAAGCAATACTTAAGCCAGGATTCACTATGTAAGTGGAAGAAGTCTTTTAAACGGAAAAGTCCTGAAAATTCATTTTAAGGTCTGACGTACTGTATGTAGTATCAGTCATGATCTTGTTTTTAAAAAATAGAAACACACAAAATCTAGCCAGAGAACTTGGTGACAATGCCTTTTGGACTCACATTGCCCATCTGCTGACTTCAGCAGTCAGTTGCCACCCTCTTTTGGTGCAGGTGTATCTGCTGTCTGGAAGTTTTCAAACTAGAATTAATTTTGATACTCTCCAGTTAATTTTAGAATGTTTCCTGTCAGAAGTGTTCTCTTGTTAGTGATTAATCAGAGAAGATGTTTCAAGGACCCGTTCTTTTGGCTAGGCTGGGATTTCTTTTACTTGTTTTTGAACTAGTGTGAATGATTTGTCAGCTGGATGTGCTCTGTGCCATTGGGCTGTCAGCCTGCAGGCCCTGGTGGCCCTGCTGTCCCTGGGAATGGCAGACAGCCAGTGCTCTGTCCCAGGAGCTCCCATCACCTCCCTTTTAGCTGCCTGTGTGCATGGACATCATGTAAATCTCTACCTCCTAAGAGTCTTACTTCAGATGAAACAGCAGTCATAAAAAAGAACCCTGTGTTAAGGAAGTAACGGTGACAGTAACAGTGGTTGTTTTGTTTATTTAGTTCACATTTAAGTTCCAATTCTTTTTTTTTTTTTTTTAATGGAGGGCATAGTGAGATATGAGAGTTCTGTATCTTGAGTTTTCAATGTAGGAAACCCTACAAAGCAAGGAGGCTTATTTGGGGTTCTTCGGATATTAGCAGCTGCAGCAGAAGAAAAACTGGAGTTGCTGAGTATTGGACATAGAGGAACAGAATTAAACCTGTGCATTTGAGTGCTGTTGAAGCGTGGCATGAAACAATCTACAGCAGCACATCTGAACTTTGTTAGTGCCTTTTCCCACATCTTCTGCCCCCAATTTCCATCTCAGACCATGGCAATGCTCAGTGCATTAATGGATCCTGTCAGGAAGCTCTGGGAGGAGCTGGCCTGCAGTGCTCACACACAGAGGCACTCACGTGTGCCTGCATGGATTTAGGGTGTGGATGTGAGCAGGTGTCTGTGAGTGTCCTGTAGGATGAAACACATATTTTGTAGGGGGTTTATATTAAAGACCCCAAGGCAACATATTTTTTGCATTTAAATGTGTGGTGATGCTTCTGTTTTGTTTTTACTAGGTAATGGAGTAACCTTGATAGTAGATACTCAGCAGCTGGACAAATGCAACAATAATCTTTCTGAAGAGAATGAAGCACTGGGAAAACCTAGAAATAAAACTTCAGAAACACTTAGTAAACATTCTTCAAATTCTTCATCAGGTCCTTTATCATCATCATCATCCACACTGTCCAGCTCTAGTGATGTAGTAAGTACTGGAGGTTTTCTGACTCTGCTTTTTAATATTTCTTTGGTGTTTTTCCCTCTGATTTATATTGTCACAAAATACATTTTAGGAGCTCACAATCCTAGTCAGTTAATTCATCCAGAATCCTAACTTGCATAAGATGTTAATTCTTATGCAATTTGTACACATACAAGTTGCAGTGTGTTTTTGACACAATACATGTAGAAAGTGAATATATAGACACAAAGTTCCACAGCCCTCTTTTCTCTGGGAAAAATGTATTTCAAAAGTAAAACAGACTGGTAGTCCTAAGCCACATGCTTTGATAAGCAAACAGGCCAAAAGCTTTGGAAAAGATCTGTTTGGGAATTTTACTTAAAAAATGAAAGGCAGATCTCAAAACCAGAATCACACATCAATACATCTTTAAATCTGTTTTACTTGATAAGAATTCTGGATTGAAAGAATTTTAATATCTAGTAAAATAAACAAGTTTTCAGTTTTTTCCACTGTTAACTTTATTTTTAAAGGAAAAATCACTTTTAGAAATACTCATTCTTAAGAAAAGCTCACTAATCCTTTACATTTTCCTGAAGGATTCTGATGGAACACCTTGCAAAACCTCTAAACAGTTGAGTTGTCGTCAGTCTACCACAAACAGAGTGGGGTCACAAGAAGTGTCACTGGAATCCTCCCAGTCAAGTGGGAAAACACAAAATAGCCAAACAGCCAATACATCCAGCAACACGAACAAATCTCAGGTTTGTGAAATGTTTGAAAGCAACAACTGTGTAGATTATTTGAATATTACACATATCCCCCTGGAAGGGTAACTTGTTCTGGAAAGGGAGCACTGCATTTTTCACCTCCCTTTTGCCCCATTAAAAGTTTCCAAACACTGATTGTATGTAAAGCCACCTGGTTCTCTGTTAAGCTTGCACAGATGAATTTGCAACCGTGGCTTTCCCAACTTCAAAACAGATGAAGTTGGTCTGACTTGTACACCAAATTTGCCAGAGGTATTTAGCTGTGTTGCACCCATTTCCTCCTTTGCAAAAAGCACATCAGTCCAGTTTTGATTGCAAAATTTGAGAAATGAGGTGTGCCTACACTCAGTGAAAGCAGTTAGCAAAAATGTGTGTTTAAAACTCTGACTGGCTGCTCTTTTAGCTGTTGATACTTGTTGATCTGTCTTCCACTAAGGGAGGTGAAGATTCTTTGTGATACATAACATTCACCCTCATTTTCCTCTGTAGCCAAACATCCTTATGATGACACCTATCAGACCTTATGCATTTAGATTTCCCAAGCTGAGGAATGCTTCAATATTCTGGGAATATTCTATGCCTCTATATACAATATACCCTGGATATATGCAGTTTAAATTCTTACACTTTTTCAGAAATTAGATCTTTTATGTTTGAAACATAGTCCAGAACCTTCTGGAATATTTTCCTTGAAAATTATTCTGAAGACATGCCTCTTACTTGCTGGTGATCTGTCTTCTGACAAGACAATTTACATGCCTGGCCTTGGCTATGCTATGAGCATGTGTTTGTGTTATTGGGCAGAACTAATTCCAGGCTGGAACGTGCATGCCCATGATCTGACACACCCCATCTCTGAAAAGATGTGGCATAAAATCAGTACTGAATCAGATTTGAGCAATGTTCCTGTGTTGTCTTGGATTATGGACATTTCTGTAAAGTACCTTTATACTTCCCAAAATTCCAAGTGCTGTGCTGTACTCTGCACTTGTTTGGGGCTAGAGGTGAACGTTTGTTTGCACGCACCCAGGTGGGAGATGGGCTCTGCAGTGCTGTGTCTCAGGCTCCTCCTGGCACAGCAGTTGCCAGGTGTGCTGCTCTCAGGAGCCACCGTGCTGGTTGTGCAGAAGCAGGGCTGTGATTGCCGTGCTGTGTCCCACTGGCAGGGATTTACCATGTTCTCTTTCCTCCACAGCATGGATCCGCACGGTTGTTTCGCTCTTCTAACAAAGGCTTCCAAGGTCCAACAAACTCAAGCCATGGTACCTCAGTCACAAACAAACAGCACCAAGGCAGCAAATCACACCATCAGTTTTTCCACGGCAAAAAGAGGAAACACAAGAGGGATGCAGCCCTGTCAGACCTTTGTAGATAGTTGCCTACTTTATGACTGTTCTTCTGTGTGCAATGATCTCATGCTACAGGATAGTTTGATAGTGACTCCTTGGATCTCTTCTGGAGCTTCAGACTGTTCAGACATAGATTAGCAACTGCATTTTTTTTTCCCAGCTCGCCACGGAACGGAACATGAAGATTGATCACTGCAAAAAAAAAAAAAAAACAAAAAAAAAAAAAAAAGGGAAAAAAAGGAAAAAAATTAATTTTTTTAAATGAGGAAAAAGGCTGCTCATTTGATAAGTCATATGCTACAACAGGGTCATTTAGGATATAAAAGCTTGAATGTAAAATAAATGTATTTCCCATCAGCTCATGCTGACCTGTAGAGATAGTACTCAGTGTGTCTAGGGGGTGGTAACAAACAAATAAAACACAAAAAATAGGAAAAAAAAGGCAAAAAATTGTATTTTGAGGGAAACCCAGCCTTTAAAGGTGAAAGTAATTTGTGCATGATTTTTTAATTATTTTTGCATATACTTACCATTTTATTGTGTATATATAGATGACCATATAGGAAAACTGACATTTGTAATAGTGGATTTGTTAATACTTTTTACATAACATTGCTGTTTAAATTGTAAACATAAATTTTTCTCAGGATTAGTTTGGAAAATAATCTGAATTGTCATCTTAACATCCATATAAAGAGACATTACTAGTTATATTGCTCAGAATTTCTTTTCTTGGCATTTGGAAGATCTCATAGAACTTCTGATCTGCAAAAGCTGTTCCTCTGAAAGAAAGGTTTATGGTGACAAATGAAGATTTTCATTTGTATAAAGTGTACATGTACTTTGTGTAGACACTGAGCTTGTCATCTCTGAGAAGTAACCTTCACCTTGTTTTCTAGAGTGCCATCATTTCAGGCAATGGGGTTTTGTAGTTGCATCCTTCTCTTCCTCCCCTTAGTGGTCTCTCCTTGACCCTTCCTTCTTTTTTTTAAAGAAACAACAAAAGGCCACTTGGGGTTTGGTTTTGGTTTTGTTGTTTTTTTTTTTTTTTGTGGGTTTTTTTTTTTTTTTTTTTTTTTTTTTTGTTCAGTTGATGGTGGTGATTGTTTTCTTTTTGTTTTGTTTTGTTTTTTGTTTTTGTTTTTTTGGGTTTTTTTGTAGTTTAAAAAAAAGCAAAACAACAAAACTCAGTTTGTTACAGACGTTTGCATTCCTGGGCTGCTTTAATCCCATGCCTCCTTGTTTGTGCCTTTCCTCCCCCTTTCAGGTCTGGGTTTTTTTGTCTTTTATATTTTTGCTAACTCCTGTAGGAGATGATAACTGTTGAAGCTTTAAGTAAATTTTACAATTAAAGTATTTTTTTCTCACTCCCCTCTTAGGCATTTTTATATATACACTTAATTATTAAAAACAAAACAATTTCAAATAATGAAATATACTTTATATTGCCTTAAAGACCCAAACCTTTCATATCTCATAATATCTCTTCATTGACCTAGTTCTCATTTCGTTGAAACTCCACGTGTGTGTGGTTCAGTCACATCACAAGTCGAGCTTGCAGTACCTTTGATGCCATGAATGCGAATGAAATGGAAAATTGCACTCACAGGCATAGTTTGGAGCAGGAGTGGGGACACTTCAGTGGTAGAGAGTTAAGTGGCATTTACTTTCACATATTTCTGTAAAGAGGAGAGTCTGTACTTGGCATACCTGACTGTATTAAATGCAGCAGTTCTGAGATGATGCTTTTATAAAAAGTACTGTTAGCTTTGAGAAACTTTTTATATACATTTACAGAATACTACAGACCAACCTGACCTTTATGGGCACTAATGAGTGCAATGATTTTTAAAGTAAAATGAGACCAGAACCAATGTTATCACTTAAATTAATAAACATTTTCAATGTGTTAAAGTGTTTTACTTCAAAAAGGAAAATATATATATATATTCCAAAAATACAGCAAGTCATAACATTTACTCCAACACTAAGCTTAAGTGATGTTAATTTGACAATTTTTTTTTAATTTTTAGAGTCATATTTTAATTTGATCAGATAATTTTATCAAGATGTTCAGCTTTTCTTCATAGAAACTAGTGAAAGTTGTACCACATTATGCATAGTCACTATTTATTTTGTTTTAGATTATTGTGAATGTGTAGACTTATGTTCACCGCTTAGGGAACAATTATTTATAAATTATATTAATCCAGTATTGTTAGCTGCTATTAGCAAAACTGTTCCAAAACTTAATACTTGCAAAGATCTGTATCGCATTTACCACACTGAAGTGTTTTTAAAAGAATCACCCTCATTGTTGAAAGCAAATGTACTCCTAGGGTGCAGATATTAGTGTTCCAATAAGCATGTGATAATTTTAAGGTGGTGGTAGCGGGAAGATAATCTTGATTCCATTGGGAATCTTAGGTTTGCCTCAATTTATGGTTTTCATAAATTTAATGGAAAAAAGCTTTTCCTGGACTGCTCAAGTTTCTTTTTGGTAAACAGTATCTTTCTAAAAGAAAAAAAAAAAAAAAAAAAAAAAAAAAAAAAAAAAAAAGCATGAAGGAAAAATTGAGGCATTTTACATTGCCTCAAATGACCAGCATTGTATTCATAAAATACTGTATATCTTGCAAAACTTTATTTAAACGGAACAGTTGAACTGTTCGTTTTTCAATCTGAAGTAAAATACTTTCAAGACCTTTTAGTTTGCCTGCTCATTTGTCTTGTACATTTCATCTCTGTATTTGACTCAAGTCTAATTCCTTTTTGAGTTTCAATACTTTTGTGAAGATTTTGTGAATATATGAAAAAAAATAAATGTTTAATCTAACTACTGCAGTTTATCACCATTCTTGACACCCTCTCTTCCCCTTCACAGCACTGTGGAAAGAGTTACTCGAGTAACATTTTTTGGTAGGATCAGGATTCTTCCCCAGCTGCGTCCTGGAGTTTGGAAGCTGATCTTGTTCAGGTGGCCCTGGTCTCTGCTGGTTTTCCTTTCAGGAAAGCTGGAACAGACTCTGTAAGCCTGAGAATGAAAGGAAGGTGATACATGTGTACAGATTTCTTAATGTATGTTTTTTGTCTAATTTTCATCCTCAAATACATAGGAAACTTACAGAAGGACCCAGGTTCTTTTTTTTCTGAAATTGGCTGCAGGGTGGTGTTGCAGCTGCAGGGCAGCAGCTGCTCAAAGCTGTCATGCTGAGGGGGTTTGATAGAACTATTCAAGAGTTAATTGGATTTACTTCCAGCTAAAATCCATGTTCAGCAGTTCCTGAAGCACAGCTGATGTTACTGAAGTGTGTTCTTGTCCTTCCCTGGGAGACGTGCACATACTGCAGGTTCTGGTAGTTTTCCGTCTGGTAGTCCACTGCACACTATTGGAAATAGATAAATAAATAAGCTGAAATGTTTGTATATCTTCCTGTTTGGCATTAAATTGGTTTGCTGAGGCTCTTTTAATATCAAATGGTGTTTATGGTTAAAAATGTATGTATTTTTTAATTGACAGTCTTCTCCCTTGTGGCAGATAAGAAGCTGAAATGTAAGTAAATCTTCCTGTTCATGAGACACAGCTTGATTTCTGTTTTGTCAGAATTTACAGCTCAGGTTTTTAAATACTAAAACCAAACTTGTTTTCCTAGAACTAAATCTTTAGAAAGTAATTGCAGTCCAGTGCCTGGTGACAACTTTTTAAATGTACTTTCAAAATGGGCCTTTTCCATTTTATATCTGGAAGCATCATGAGTATATCCTAAATATAATGTGAGCAGATGGTTAGAAAATACTCTTACCTGGAAAATGTGTTGTAAATAAATGCAGCCAGCCATTTCACATCTTGATGGATGCTAAAACTCATGATAGATCTTAAAACAGAATGTTTGACTCCAACTTTATTTCCTAAAGAGTAAAAGTCATAGGAGATAAAGTGTGTAATTACTCAAGAAGGGAGTATATTTAATTTTTTTGTTACAACCTCTAAATAGGTAATTAATTATTCCAGTTACTGTTAAAGGACAAAAAGTGATTATTCTGCTGATTCCTAGAACTTGGTTCTTTTGCTTAACAGTGCAAAATAATTTTCTAAGAATGAAGTTTAGTATGTCTTAAAACTGTTTGTCTTGAAAGTGCAGATTTTGAGAGCTTTATATTTTACCTAATCTGTAGTGGTTTCAAAAGTTTTCCTCAAAAATGTTTTCTAGGATCAGTGACCTAAATGTGTGTCTTGACTGTATTTCCACAAGTTATTTACTAGCAGTTCTGACAGATACATTATTCATGATTTCATCTACAGATTGAAAACAGATTTGCTGTTCTCATGGTGCTTAATTTCTTCATGGTTGTAGATTTTCCTGTGCCAAAGATCTCTTAGGCTCTTCCCTGTAGTAATTTTCTCTGAAGCCTAATGAACTAACCTTCAAAGTTGATTTGTTAGGATGTTTGAGATGATCCCAGGGAAAGAAATATCTGACACCAGGAATCCTTTGCAAGTTATTTCATGTCCTGAGTAACACAGGAATTCAAATTGAAATGGCTTTATTGCGTCTTTACAAGCCCAAAGTTTCTGTCAAATATCTGCTTGAAAAGAAAATAGAAAGGAAAGAGCCAGAAAGTGGCTGTTACTTGGGCATGGTAGTGCTAGATCAAATTAATGTGCATTTCAGATAACTCTAAAATTTAGATCCGTTATTTTTTGAAAGCTTTGATTTTAATTCTTTGTGTATTTAGTGGCTGGCCCACCATGATAATTTGATTAATCTGTGGACTGCAAAAACTTGTAAGAGAGAAGTGTGGTGCCTTTGTTGGGCATCTTGGCCCTGCTGTGCCATGGCCTTTCTCTTGGCAACAGGCAGCTCAGAGGTGGCCTGTTCCCATTTGCTCCTTCCTGTAGCAGTGCAGGATATGGATGAAACTGGGCAAGAAAAAGGATGTGAATTTTATTTTGCTGCAAGTTAATTGTTGAAAGCTGATGGGATCCTGAAAATCATTTAAATCCACCTATAAGTAGAGGAAGATGAAAAATCTTGGGTATCCTCTGCATAAAAGCCATTTGGAGGAATGCCATCTTTCTGCTTCCAAGGTGCATGGAAGTGAGGTGCCCTGGGGATTCTGGTGGGTCCCTTTGCTCAGGGATACCCAGTGACCTCAGCAGAGAATCTCTTGAAGGTGTCTCTGCTCTGTAGCAGGTCTAAATAGCTCTTGGCATTTGAAACTTGCTGCATTGAGTTTCC